AGGGTGTGAAAGGCCTCAACAAGTGGGCAGGATTCTGAATGCCTCTCAGCTAGGTCGGGTACAGGGCTCAGGTTGAACATATTTCAAACAAACAAAATAATGTGTACCGGTACTTTTAACGAATTAAACAGGACAAAGCAGGGTGCAAACTAAAAGCCCCCCTCCCCCCCTCCAAGAATATGAAATGGTCCAAGAAGACTGATAATTTATTTACACCAATATTGATACACATGTATGTGAAAATGATAGTATAATGAATATGAAATCATAACCATGCACATGATGATATATCAGATAATATGAAAACCAAACCAGCGTACAGAAAAACGGTTGTACTTACTTCATTTGTTTGACAATGGTACTCTTCCCGGACTCACCAGCCCCTAGAAGAAAAACGCAAGAAAAGGTTTTAACAACTGTACACAAGTAACAATGTCATATATGCAAAACAACACAGCGGTATACACACTGACCAACTGAGCCACTCAAACTTCTGAAGGATATGCAATGTACTTCTGACCTGACATCTTGATGTGTTTACAAATACAAATTTAGTAGAGACGGTGAGACCAAACTGGTTCTTGGAAAAACTGGGAAAAACAATGTAATCGAAAGTGACAGACAAGAAAGAATCCTTAAATAGGAAGGAATTATAATAATGCTTAATTTGGAACAAATACACTTCAAACATTTATGACACACTACTTTCACCTGAAAATTGTCAATAAATAATCTAAAGTATTAAAGTAAAAATCACATGCTGGACCAGCTCTTCTGTAAACAAAAACATTTCTTACTCACCGGCTCCAAAGAAAAGATGTGCCTAGCAGATATGATACTTTTGACAATTTAAGCATAAACACAAAAAAACAAACATAAACAAAATTTGGGGAAGGATTTCAGCAAGGAGGGCACACAGGTAAACAACATCTTGGCCAGGAGCCTGCAGAAACACACAGCCTAAACAGCTCTGTGAGCCATGCCTCCAGCATTTCTTCACATCAATTGGGGAAAAAAAGAAAGGTTGAAAATTGCTGCAAAAATACTCCCTTGATCCTCTTTAAAGAAATTCCACCTGCATATCCACACCGTTTAGCTTGCACTTGTGCATGCTGAGTCATGCACCTCCAATTTGAACTGTTCACAGCAGCTCATCTAAATGTCAACAGGGCAGCTTTTTAAAAAAGGCATTTCTACACCTCCATCGGCACAATTAACATCATTTCAGAGACGGGCTTCCAACTCTGCCAGTCAGGGCCAACCCACACTGAGGGATACAATAGCCTAGCAGGAAGGCCGAGATACACGATAATACAAAAATTCTTCTCACTTGGGAATCGAACTTCGGCCTCCCGCATGTATTTTTGTCAGAAAGACTCCTTACTCAACTCCTTTGCCTTATACCCGGTAGGGGAGGAAGATAAAATTAAGGCCCACGGTGAAACAGTGACAAGGATTTGAGACAGGTATTCAGTTCATCAATATAATGAGTCATTATAATAATGTCAAACGTCAAAGAGTAGTCTAGTAGTAGTAACAACGCGTTGACTGTGGTTTTCAGACTGAAGACTGGACGTCACTAGATTTTAAAATAAAATCAAAGACACTTTTTGTGGCGCTTTTTCAGTAGTTCCCACCACCCCTTATTTCAGCCTAGATCTATTGATTTTTATTAGAAATTCGCAACTGAGCTCGACTTAGTATTCGACCTAGGTAAAAATACTAGATCGAGGTAATCCATTTGTCACAATTACTCTATAATTTAGTACTAAACACTACGCCTAGGCCTAGTGTTGTTCATTGCAATCATGAAGTCAGGGTTAGGTTGATTTAAATCAAGTTGATTTTTTAAATAAAAATCAGTGATTTAAATCACTTTTTTTTAAATTTATTTTTATTCAGTTTTTACACATTTCAACATTCAGAATTCCTTTCCTTGGTTTCATAAAACAAATATAAGGTTTAGTAGACTAATATAATCATGCTTAAAAGTCTGCTTTCCCTCCTTTCACTGTAAAATAATATAAATACAGTATTCAATTTACTTTTTTTTCCATAATTGAAATCAGAGCTGAGTTGATTTAAATCAATTGATTTTTTTTATTTTAATCAACTTGATTTTTAAAATAAAAATCAGTGATTTAAATCACTTTTCAAAAAAAAATGTATTCAGTTTTTACATATTTAAACATTCAGAATTCCTTTCCTTGGTTTTATTAAACAGATATATAAGGTATAGTAGACTAATATAATCATGCTTAAAAGTCTGCTTTCCCCCCTGTCACTGTAAAATTTCCCCCCTGTCACTGTAAAATAATACAGTTCTCAATTTACTTTTTTTTCATAATTGAAAACCAGGGTTGGGTTGATTTAAATCAAGTCGATTTAAATCAGTTGATTTTTAAAAATTTAAATCAACTTGATTTTGAAAATAAAACTCAGTGATTTAAATCACTTTTTAAAAAATGTATTCTGTTTTTACATCTATAAACTTTCAAAATTCCTTTCCTTGATTTTATAAAACAGATATAAGGTTTAGTAGACTAAAATAATCATGCTTAAAAGTCTGCTTTCCCCTGTCACTGTAAGTAGTAAAATAATACAGTATTCAATTTACTTTTTTTTATAATTGAAATTAGCATTTTCTTTTTCTTTTTAGACAAATACAAGCGCGCGCACACACACACACTGTAATAAAATGCAAGTTTATCTATGCATAATTACCCCAACCCCTCCCTTCCTTTTAGACTGACATTTTCTTCATTTTTTGTCTGCAGCCATAATTCACTGATATAGCAGATTAAGGCTTTCTAAAATTGCACTTGCTTAAATTAATCATTAGTTAAAATAAAGAAAATGCATTTTGCACTAAAAGAACTTACTTTTAGCCACCAAAAATCCCAAACTGTGTCCATGTTTTTAAAAAAATTTTAAAAATCCGATTTAAATCAAAATTATTTTTATTTAAAAAATCAAAAAAATCAACCCTGCATGAAGTGCGTCTGGGAAATTGATTGTCGTCCAAACTGTCGCCATTGTTGTCTTGGTCCAAAGAAGAAAGGTACAACCGTTCTTTGATAACATTAGGGGTATTCTTTTATTTTCCCTCCCGTCTCACAATTAACCGCCAGTTGTCCATTTTCTTCTATACTGATGCGCTGAACACGAATATCAACTTCATTTCCGTCGCAAATTAATAGTTTTTGAAATATTTGACTATTTTTAATCAAGCTATAATATTACACCGTGCCTAACCACGTAGACAGTCAATTGTCCCACATTTGTGTGCTTTGGACCAATCAGGGGCCCTGGGCGGGAAAAAAATCTGGGGGGTTTACAGGGGGGGGCAGCCCCCGTTTTAACCCATAGTATGATAGTTTGACATTTTACAGTTAGTTAGGTTTGAAATTTTCTTGAAAATAATTGATTAGCGACAGTATTGGTGGCTTTATCATATGTGTGTGATCTGCAGAAAACAATACTGCAGTTTGACCCCCGAAGCAGTGCATCTGTGTGCGGGAGTGAAAGAAAAAATTTACCACATTAGGCTTGTTACAAAGTTGGAAAGTGAACCAATTTCTGAGTCATTTACTGTTACAAAGAGAAGCGTTTAATTCATGAAGAACATTACCTAGAATCTAGACTTCACACCACTCTAGGCTGCTATAGAAGACTAAGAAGAAAAACTTTTGAATGTAACTTTCCCCTGCAGCTTGCAGTGTTAGTGTTAGGTCCTCCATCTAGTCCTAGTACTGCTCCGGCCATGGTCTACGCCGGTATACACAGCGGTCAAAATATCACAATAGGAGGCCTACTAGATCTAGATTGGGCGCTTTTTCGGTAGTTCCCACCCCCCTTATTTAAGCCTAGATCTACATAGATTTATACGTTTGATGAGCGGCGAGCTAAGACATCAAACCTAACAAAACATCGATTGTTGCGCATTCTGTTGATCAGCGGATCGCGCAGCGCTTTTTGTTGAACCGTGAAATAAATATATTTACTGCGCATTCTGTCGATAAACTATGTGTATGTCACTATGATGATGAAGTGAATTTTAAAAAAAAAAGAAAATTGGTTTACTGAGCATGTCAGTCTTTGAGCGTCCTGTCGTTTTGCTTCCAAGAAGAGTTGTGTGTTGAACTTAAAGTGTTGACGGTTGAGCCAGGTAGATAAATTTATAATTGACATGACGTTAAATCGAGCACCTGCACTCAGTTCAGTATTTGGACGGATTTGATTGGCCGAGTACTTCACGTGGTATTGCAAATACGGACAAGATATAATGGCTTGTGATCAATTGTTGTTGATCAACATAATGCGCAACAATTATGTTGTCTTCTCTTTTGTCAGTAACGCAGACACTGGATTTTTTGACAATAACTGCGCTTCTTTCTCCACTATCGACGTGAACCGCTCCACATTGAATATGTGTTCGGAGTGATACTCACCTACCTATAACCCTGATTTCAACTCCCTATATTGATTGCGATGTAGTAGGTATTGTAACCCTGATTTCCAGTAATTTCCATTCAGTTTCAGTTTGACTTTGGAGAATGAAACTAATGACTCTGGACGACAACAAAACATAAGTACAAAACCCAGGGGTAAGATCTAAGCCTATAGAATGCGAAACCCAACGAATCGACAATTAGCGCTGCGCGATCCGCTGATCAACAGAATGCGCAACAATCGATGGATTGTCGAGCGCTTCCTCGATCAACCAAATGCGCTGCGCCATCGATCACGCAAATTGACAGATGGCGCCCAACATAGATATCTAGGCCTAGGCTAGATTCTACAATCAAATTTAGAAGATTTAGATATCTAGATTTAGATCTAGAATATAGAATATATCATTATATCTAGATCTAGATCTAGTATAGTTTAAGGATGTAGTTATTCGCACAGGGTGTGTGAATACTATGGAATTATATTCGCACAGGGTGTGTGAATACTGTGTGAAGGGGGCTCTCGTGGCCTAGAGGTTAAGGTGTTGGCCTCTCATTCAAAGGTCCCGGGTTCGAATCCAGGTAGCGACCAAAAAATTTTCTTCTCTAAAATTGTCTCCTTTCACCTCCTTTCCTGCTCTCTAGCAATGTTCTGTTGTCTGCTTTCATTTCCACTTTCTGTCCCCACCCCCTCACCTCCTTTGCCCCCTCCTCTGGGCTCCTGACTCTTTCTGCAGCCTTTCTACTGCTACTCCTTGGCTCCTCCTTACTGCTGTCTTTCTACCACACCCCTGATCTTCTGGTAGGAAAGACCTACACCTAGCCTTCTCGGACAAGGGCGAAAAATCTCGGAGGGCCCGTGTGCAAGTTGCGCACGTTAAAGATCCCTTGGTGGTCTAAAATCGATAAGAGTAGGCTTCGGCCGCCACCCGGGCAAAATTCAAAATTTCCTGCCAACTGAAAATATTAGGTGTGTCCCGCGCGCTCATATGACCTATGCAGTTGCGAGCGCCGTAAAACACTTTACAAAAACAAACAAACTGTGTGAATATTGTGCAATTTTATTCGCACAGGGTGTGTGAATACTGTGTGAATACTATGACATGAAATGTTATTCGCACAGGGTGTGTGAATACTGTGTGAATACTATGACATGAAATGTTATTCGCACAGGGTGTGTGAATACTGTGTGAATACTATGGCATGAAATGTTATTCGCACAGGGTGTGTGAATACTATGAAATTATATTCGCACAGGGTGTGTGAATACTACAAAATATTATTGGCACAGGGCGTTTCAAAAGAAGGATGGAAATTATCTAGATCTAGCATTTCCTCATTTTTCCTTTTTTCATCCTCTTTCGCGTAGGGACAAAGATCATGGATCACAAGATAGTTGGCTCCTCTTTTTGAGCCAAATAAAAAAGTGTTCTCAGAATTTGGTGGCGCCCTCTTCGAAAAAGTGAAGACTTTGCTAACAGACCCAACTTGGACTTGTGTGAAAAACGATAAAAGTGAAATTAACAGACTGGAGAAAGGAAAGAGCTTCAAAACAACGACTCCAGCACCATCTGAAGCAATGCGCTGACTTCTGCGAACACTTTTCGGGCTGAGTGAACAATCTTGTTATCTATCTTTGGTAGGGTTGATAGATCTAGATTCTAAATCTAGATCTAATTCTATTGTGCAATGCGATACAAAAACCCCCCAAACTCAAATTGGAATTCAAGTTGCGTATTGTGTCAATGATAATGACTCAAATCTCTTTTTTCTACCCTAAATCTGAAACAAGTTATATTATAGATCTAGATCAAGATAAAATCTAGATCTAGATTCTAGTGTCCAGTTGTTTTAACATTTAAAGCCTTTGCCAAAAAGTGGAATACCTGTGTGTGACAAACGAGGTCCAAAATCGACGTAGGCTCGGTCGCCCCTGTGCAAATAAAATTATTTCCTTATTCGCACACCCGATGTCAATAATATTAATTCTTATATGCGCACACCCGGTGTGAATAATCCCTTCCATAGTTTAATTAGATCTAATATCTAGATCTAGATCTAGAGCTAGAGATCAAGTTTATTTTCCCGAGAGTTCTGAGAAAATTTGAAATAGTCACTTGGTTTTTTTTTACTCATGCACCCGTCTCATGTAGGCTACACGTTTAAAAATTAATATAGATCTAAATTTAGATCAACTTTTTTACTTTATTACTTGATCTAGATTTAGATTTTCTAGATCTAATCTAGATCTAGATCTATGCTGGAAGCGAAAATGGCCTTCATTGTTGCCGCAAATCAATAGTTATTGAGTTATAATTGATGTCTGAAAATAGGGAATTTCTAGATCTAGATCTAGAATCTAGATATCTAGATCTAGATCTAGTCAATCTAGAGTCTAATATTTGACTTGATTTTAACAGTGATAACATGGGGGGAGGGGTTGGGTGGTTAAGGGGGGCCCCTGACCTAAAACGAATAGATAAAAATTATATTCGGACTCGAGTCCGAATAGAGCTGGCCCAAAACAATCTGGGCCTGGGGGGGTTTCAGGACATGCGATTAAAAGTAGAAATGATGCAAACTATTTTTAGGTAAGGCGCCCATCTTGTTTGACGTCAGACCAGGATACCCCTCCGATCACGTGACTACATCTAAGTATAGACAACCGCATGGCACCAAAGATGGAAGTGTCTATGTATATTATGCTTAATCTACA